TTTTTGTCATTGTTTTTTTACCTTAATAAACATACTAATTTTTGTTACAATTTATTTAATGTTATCGAATGACGTTTCGACCCTATTTGGGATCTTTTTCAAAAAATCCTCGGTCCAGGTTTGATGTATGTATCTGAACGCTATTTTCACAGGATATTACGGACTCAAAACTTCGCTTACCACGTTGTAAATGTTCCTATGATCTATGATTAACTACTAAAAATTTAAACGTATTTTAGGAAAAACGTATGTGGAATTAGCTAGTGTTGTTTAACTTGCTATTGGAGCCCATTCAATCCACATCGTATAAACGTTATATTATTATTTTTATGTTGGTTTAATTATAATTTCCAACATTTCTGTAGATAAATGGAACAGAAAAAAAACAACTTAAAAAAGAACTAACAATAGAAAATCCCCTGATTACAATTGAATTGGTTATTTTTAAAATCCCGCAAGTCAGGAATTCTAAGGTAATGGGAAAACAAGAAAAACTGAATAATTGAGAACATTTTTCTAGTATTTCTGATGCATAAATCTTGATTGAGAATGCCAGGGAGACATGTAATTTTTTCTTGTGTTAATAGTACAATGGTCGCTGGACTTTTTTAAAACTTTATCACTTATGGAATTTCAAAAACCCATCAGGAATCTTTTACCTAAACATGTAAATAAATACACGTTGCAGGCTCAGTTTTAAAGAGACACATTTATTGCAATATTATATTGAAATGACAATGTACATCTACATGAAACGTAATTTATATGACAGAAATAGTTGCTTGAAAATGTGTTTCTACAATCGTACATAGGAATACTTGCGTATTGAACATTCCTTTTAACAATCGCTCGGTCAGTGATATCCCAGTGATACACACATACATACATAGATACACACACAGTAATACGTACCCTGCAAGTCAATGACTTACTGAATTTCAAACGCAAACCAAAATTTTGCTGTATTCTCAGGGTCATTCTGTTCATCTAATTTATGAAATTTGTACGTGGGACGATGCATCCATCCTGCAGCTTCTATTTTTTCAGAAAATGCAAAAGAGAGTGACGTAAGGGGTTTTAATAATTACCTATTGAATTGTGTATGTTTCGTAAGTTATATTCAGCTAGTAAGCACAAAATGCTTTTACAAAGCTATCGTCAAATCTGTGCAAACACTCAAAAAAAATACCAGTAAGTAAAGTTTTAAAACAATTAGTATTCTTTCCAGTTTTTATTGATTGGCGTGTCAACAGCAAAGGTCATTAGTCCCGTAAGTGTAGTGCGTGTGGTTTGCTCGGCATGTGGCGGAGATCTTTCTCCGCTGGATGGTGAGGTCCGGCGCCGACCTACCACCTGCTAGCGGAGATTTCCCCAACCTAGTACTTCCCATCAGCGGAGTACCACCCCACGCTTGACAAGTTCTAACCCAAGCTCCCGATCGGTCTCCTGCCAAGTGTAGTAGTGTAATGCATGTAAGTGTGTGTGTGTGTGAGTGAGTGAGAGAGTGAGAGAGAGTGAGAGAGTGAGAGAGAGAGTGAGAGAGAAAGAGAGAGTGATAGAGAGTGAGAGAGATAGAGATAGAGAGAGAGACAGAGAGAGATAGAGAGAGAGATAGAGAGAGATACAGAGAGAGATAGAGATAGAGATAGATAGAGATAGAGAGATAGAGATAGAGAGATAGAGAGAGATAGAGAGAGAAATAGAGAGATAGAGATAGAGAGAGATAGAGAGAGAAATAGAGAGAGATAGAGATAGAGAGAGATAGAGAGACAGATAGAGAGAGATAGAGATAGAGAAATAGAGAGATAGAGATAGAGATAGAGAGAGATAGAGATAGAGATAGAGAGAGAGAGAGAGAGATAGAGATAGAGATAGGGAGATAGAGATAGAGAGATAGAGATAGAGAGAGAGAGAGATAGAGAGAGATATAGAGAGAGATAGAGAGAGATAGATATAGAGAGATATAGAGATAGATATAGATATAGAGATAGATATAGAGAGAGATAGAGATAGAGAGATATAGGTAGAGAGATAGAGATAAAGATAGAGAGATAGAGATAAAGATAGAGAGATAGAGATACAGAGATAGAGAGAGAGATAGAGAGAGATTAGAGATAGAGGTAGAGATAGAGATAGAGATAGAGATAGAGATAGAGATAGATAGATAGAGAGAGAGAGAGAGAGAGAGAGAGAGAGAGAGAGAGAGAGAGAGAGAGAGAGAGAGAAGGGTGAGGATAAAACAACAAAGATGAAGAAAAGATTAGAAGTTTTCAAATGAATGAAATACGAGTAAGAAAAAATAAATATACTTTATAAACGCAGAGTGCAGATATGCTTGAGCCAAATTAAAGTATACGTTTCAGTTAGATGAAAAATATTCATATGTTTCAAAATGAAATGTCTTGGTGGTATCATTTGGGTTTTTGAAAGTTTGCTACGTCATTTCGGCCTTCAGGTCACAGGACCATGAAGCTTTCATTGTATATTCTTATTGATGCATACATATAGTGTCTTTGTATAACAAGCCAAAAGCACTGCAAAGTAGTAATTTACATGGGAAATAGTCACAACTCTTGCCACGTACGGACCCACAATGTCTGTCAGCACCTGCCAGGGAACTAGTTGCCTACAATATGGCGCAGAGCGCAGCCTTCAATTTGTAATGCTACACTAGCGCTACTTGCGTATTTAGGTAATACTCTCCAATATCTTTGAGTTTCCTTCGTCAAATTTCAAAGAAATTCTACAAATATGTAAGTCAAATATCTTTTACAGTGGAATACCCAGTAATACCGGCCAAAGACAAATGTCAAAGGCCTTTATTTTAGAGAGTTGGCTATAAATTTCACATCCCGATAATGGGTTTTCAATGAGACAAGAGGTGTGTTTAAATAAAATATCAATTGTTTTCTTGTCCTGCTCTCTAGATTCAGTAGTAGATTTACTATTATCACACATACTAAAAATAACATTACACTGTCGATAAGCTCTATCAGAGAGTTCCTTAAATATTTCATTACGCATACCAGACAATTTTTCCTCAACAGATTTGAGTCTTTCTTCACAATCAACTTGTCTTTATCAATAGTAGATGGTTTAATATAAATAGTGTCTATTTCAGCTGAAATGTCTGTACGTATAGAATCCAATTTCCCATTTATGTCAGCCGTGTTTTTTATGGCTTCCAGAATTATTGCCATATCACTGTTATTACTCGCGCAACTTTTCTTGAAGGATGACCTTGATTCCCCCTCTTTGGCACAATTAACAGATGAAGGCAAACTCTCGCAGCGATCACTGATGACAACATTTCAAAGATCCCCACTAGCGCGAAACAGAAACAATTTTCTTTTGAAGACGAGAACTTCTATCCGTTATTTTCTCCAAAACATCTAAAGAAATGTCCGAAACAGGTAAAGATCGATCACAGGGGATACCTCGAACTCCTGCGAAAGTTATAATGCAAATTATTGAGAACATTGCGTAGGCATGACTGATTTTCCAAAGATTGGCATTGATTCATAAAATCTAGAGGCCGGTTTCGTAACTAATATCCCCACTCTACCCGCACTTCTTCAATCCATCGTTCAAGAGAAGTTGCGCGAGTAATATTTCCAGCCATTTCAGAGTCGCTGAAGTAATACTCCACACAAGCAAGAGTCTTTTCGAAGTTTTGTCTTGGAACAGCTAGTACAATAAATCCGGGAACACCAGAAGCACTTGACGTTATTAATATTTGCTTGTTCTTTACAATATGGAGACGTGCCTTTACGATAATCACCAGACAAAACGATGTTCACACCACACCAACATATCAGCAACTCAACGCAAAAAAATCTACTTATCACAATAATTTTAATAAAATATGAGAGCTCTAAACTCAAGTTGTTATAACCCAGACGCCATATTGAATTCTATATACTATTGTATACTATTCTGTAGTATATATTCCAGGCAGGAATTAATCTCCAGAACGTTGAATTTCCTGCATTCACCAGCCGAGGGTCAGCGTTCAGTATAACCGAATTTTCTAATGCTTATTTGTAATGTAAGTAAAATGAGACCAGTGACTTAAAGTTCGCTCTATCCGAGTTCGTTATAACCAGAGTGGGCAGTACGTACGTATACGAGAAAAAGTTAAAAGGAGACAAAATTCATGACTACAAAGTTCAAGCATACTTTAAGAATAAATAATATGAGAACCATAACAATTATGAATGATA